AGTTCTGTGGAACGCATGGACTACAAGTTCCTGACAACAGTGCGCGGCACTTTCACCGTGACACCACGTTACCCATTAATACATGTCGCTAGGCTACGATATTTGCCTACCAGACACACCTCTAAAATCTAAGCCTTTTTTAAAGTAGCTACAAAACAAAGAAAACAACTCACCATGTTTCCTGGTTGCTAAATTTCTTTGTTACAACCTTTCCCAGCTCGAGACCGAGGCGGTCCGCTATTTTCTGAGACAGGTCCGGGTGTGAGCTACCGCTAAATATTTTGATATTCGGCATTTTTCTGTGGTCCAGGGCGTCGTCCAGTCCAAGCGGGCTGCAGCAGCGAGCGGTTGTCGGGTCAGAGCGATGGAAGAGTCCAAGACAACAACTGGGAATTGATCAACAGTTGAAGAGCTACTCTTAGCGAGCTTAAGTGTGTTCCCTACCTATCCACCATTATGTCCCACACATCCCGCGTGCAGCTTCCTCTGAAGGTGGCGCGCACGCTTTTGCTGACGTCGACACCGTAATTACGTCTTCCGGCCTTGACACAGTCACGTGAGCGAGCAGAGTCTAGAAAGCTCGGAAGTTTAGACGGGTAAAAATGTAATAATTAGTCCACACGCAACTATATAAATAGATGTGTTTGTTTTTTTCAACTTTTTTTGCGAGTTGTACATTTTATTGTATGATATTAAAAACATGCCTGAAATTGACATTAGTAAATCTCCTCTTTTTAGATTTTACCACAGCAGACCATCTGCACCCCATCCCTACTATCCACCGCCTCTGCACGTCCTTCTGTATTACATCTATGAAGCTCCTCTGTGGTCTTTCTCTTTTCCTCCTGCCTTGCAGGTCCATATCCATTATACCTCCTCTGCATGTGTCCAAACCATCTCATTTTTACCTCTCTAACTTTGTCTACAAACTGCTCAACCTCCGCCGTCGCTTTCTCATTTTTAATCTTGTCCATCCTACTCACTGCCAATAAAAAAAACTTAGCATCTTCATAGTTTCTGTAGATCTACAAATACACTGTGCAACTCCAAGATGAAGCAAATAATTAACAATTTGTAACGTAGCAGATGTGCATCTGTTTTTTTTTGTTTTGTTTCCGATTTTCCTCCCTAAGGGCAGGAAAAAAAAACAACTTATGTTTAACCAAATCAAGGAAGAAGGCACATGGATTTACTCAGGGGGAATTTTTATTGACAGGGTTTTTTTGGAAGTGGGGGGTGCATGCAAACATGCAGTAACATTTGCAACCCCCTTTACTACATTACCAACAACTCAAAACTCCTCACCTAAATCAGACTCCTGACTTTGACATTTTAAAGTGCACGTCTAATAAAGGAACAAACATCACTGGATATTAGACACAGCTTTTAAAATAAGTAGAGAGCCCCTCAACCTTGGCCAAACTTGTTGATTCTGCAGAACTGGGCAGTTTTGTTGAGGGGTTTTTTTCTTGAGGTTTTGTTTGTGTTTCTCTTTTTCTTTCAATTTTACAACATGGAGTTGTCATGCTAGTTTTGTCTCAGGTTCCCACCTTAAAGCGGAGTTTCAAATTCAAATCAAATTCAAATTTTATTTGTCACATACACAGTCATACACGGTACGATATGCAGTGAAATGCTTAGACAACTGCTCGTGACCTAAAGAAAAAAAAGAAAAGGCTATGAATAAGATAGGAAATAAATATGAAAATTAAAAAGGGTAAATTTAACTAGGAAGGAATAAAATAAAATATAAAAATTAAAGTTAAAAATGAAATAACTGTACAACACAAATTAGAAAGAAGGGTAAATTTAACTGGGAAAGAATAAGATAAAATATATAAATTAAAGTTGAAAATAAAATAACTGTACAACAAAATACACAATACACAGTATAGAAATATATAAGAATGTATGAAGAAATATAAATATATATATACACAATAACAGCAGCTGTACAAGTATTAACTGGAAATGAAGAATATGTCCAGTGTTGTGCAATCCACATTTGTAAGTGTCTTGTGCAGTGCAAATATGCTTAAAGTGATGAGTGAAAACAATGTCCAGAATGTCCAGTGTGTGTAAGAACCATATGTGTGGGTCAGTACTGTGTGGTGGTGTGATTGAGAGACCGTATCGCCTGCGGGAAGAAGCTCCTCCTCAGTCTCTCTGTGTTGGTCTTCAGGGAGCGGAATCACTTTCCTGACCTCAACAGAGAGAACAGTCTGTTGTTGGGATGGCTGAGGTCCTTCACGATCTTCCTGGCCTTGGTCCAGCACCGCCTGCTGTAGATTGAGTGCAGGTCAGGGAGCTCAGCTGATCGCACAACCCTCTGTAGAGCTCGTCTGTTCCTGCAGGGTGCTGTTCCTGAACCAGGTTAAGATGTTTTCGCGGCGTGGGTCAACACCTCCTCACCTGTTGGTAGTTGATTCATCAGGCTTCAAGTGTAAGAAGGACAGGCCATAGTTCTCTAACAGACTGTTCCCATTCAACTGGTGACTCTAGGGCACTATCAGTCTTGTTTGATCTCATCCTTTTATTCTTCTGCCCTTCTTAGCTGCTCATTTGAGAGCCCCATTTGGAGCATGCTGGCTTGAGAATCAACTTTCCCGCAATCTGGTAACAACTCAAGCTGTTTTGCGTCTCTTTCTCACTGCTACCTGGACCTCTGGATGTCTGTGACCCAGACTCAACCTGCCTGCCCGCTCTCCACCTGCTCTCCAAGGAAACCCACCTGCTGATCTAGTACTTCCTCCATATTCTGCCACTTCGCAGCCTCAAGTTAGATTTGATCTGCTTCAGTTTAGAACCTGCAATATTCACAGTGTCACTCTCTCTCACCTTGTAAACCTCCTGTCTTCCTATACTCATTCCACCACCACAGTCCCTTCCCTACTTACTCACGAAGTCTGCTTTGTGGATCCAGCCAATCTCACATCATGACAAAACTTTAACCTTGTGAGATATAACAACATTACCTACTCTGATGTGACTAAACTTAGTAATCCTTTAGACCATGATGGAAGAGACTAACTTTATTATTAGAGTGTCTCTCCTAGACAGAGTTACTGCATTACAGTTTTACCCAAGAAACTCAATGTCAGGAGTCAGGACACAACTGTGAGTGAGTTCAGTAATATGCAAAAACAGAATAAGAATAAGCTTTATGAAAGTATTTCCAAAACATTGACTCAAGCAAGTATTTCTACTACATTTCCATAGAGTTAGGCTTCCAGTATCTGCAAGGAGGAAGACAACAAACATGCATGTACTGGTAAACAAGAAAGTTTTACTGCTATCCATGCTCTCTGTCAGCAGTACCACCACATGGAGGAGAAAAACAATCTGACAATGAATAAAGGGTTGATAAACTGTTGATAACTAGAGGTTAGAAGTTCTCCCTCGGCCATGCCAACTCGTGGAAAAGAGATCAGTGCCTATGCACATGCACACAACTGATAGAACATATAGGTTGAGTAAATAGAGGGAGGCAATGACAGTGTTATTGCTTAGATGTTAAGACATTTTGTAGACCTATTTGTCTCTCCAGTCGTACATTTTATTGCTTCATTTCTGCCTTAAACTAAACCCAACCACAAAGCAAATACTAAAAAAAGAATAATAGCCTGGTACTAATAGGAAAACTGAAGCAGGTTTGCTCATAATCATTCTTCCTGTTCATACTGGTCAGGGATTGTTTCATTTTAAGGCAACTTTAAAGTGAATGATTGCGGTGGGCAATAAGCACAAATAAGGAGTAATTAAGTTTGTGTCAGATCTATAATAAAGCCTAGGTTTGATTTAACATTTCTTATTCTTCAGCAAGTTTCCACCATTTTTCTTTCTTTCATTATGTTCCTTTTTATCCAGGTTTCACATCCACCAATTGGTGGTGCCTTCCCCCAGAATAGAAAGGCACCACTTGAAGAAAGCCTATTAAAGGACAATGCTAGAGTGTCTCTCTGATTCCTAAGTGTCAATAGAAATTCTCCAATCTAGTTCAAAGCATACCACAACCTCCTTAAATTTGCATTACTCTCACACTGTTTTCATCTGCTGTAACATGAAAGTCTTGTGATCTTATACAAGAACACGGAGCATTGTGTAACCAGGCCAGGTATTTGAGGCCATTCCAGCCTTACATGGTCCTGAGGGTCTGGGAATGTTACCCGGCAAACCAGCCATCCATACTTGAATATACTTTTAAAAGCCATGACTCTAAACTGTTGGTTGTCTCACCCTTAATCATCAAATCACTCTTTTACATTCAGCCCTGGAAATAGTAAAGTAAGCATCAAATATGTATAAAAATTGATTGCATTTCATTGTGCTTGCTATCCTGGCTGGATTAGATATATATTTGGTAAGGGTTAATATAAGCTTTGATTAGGTAGAGTATGATAGGTAGAGTTAGGTAGGGTTAGATGTGGTGAAGCTTTATTAAGCTGCAGCTGTTTGTTTTTTTATTTAGAAGAGATGCACATTTTGCAGCATTTTCAGATTAGCATCTCTGAGAAATAACTTGGCTGACCAAATGTAGTTTAAGGAGCTGTTTTGCCGACACTACACTGTAATTTTTAATATTTTTCATCCACCTATAGATTTTGACAGTCAACCGTGTCACAGAGTGCTCAAACCCTTTAAGTTAGCTGCGATGAAACAAAAAAATCATTTTCTTTGTATTAATATATTGTTTAAATCCAAGTTTTGTCCTGATTTTTCCTTACCACATTAAAAGCTGTAGTCCAAACAGGACAGCTGCTAAAAAACATGTTAATTCATAGAATATGTTGTGTTACTGGAGATTAAACAGAAAATAAAATAAAGTGAACTCAAGCTTGAACATGTGCAGCAGCGCTGATGGGGAACATTTTCTGCTGAATCATTACTTTTAGTTCTGTTACAAACTGTGTACTAGTGTTAGGGCTTTGGGGGTTCAGGCCCACTCAATATAGTAATTATGCCCACTCAGCTGAATTCTGCTTATACACTTGAACTATAAGTTACACTAATTTATACAATTTTGTAATGAAAAACATAAACACCCATATCTCCAAAAAGTGTAATGTAGTGTGAGCTTAGTTTAATTATTTGGTTCACTGTAGTTTAGTGCTTTAGTGGGAAGTACTTCATGTGTCTTTGAAGCTAAAATGAGGTCATTCATCAGCTTGTGCAGCTAGTTTTAAAGCATGGTCCTACTGGAAAAATGCAAAACAAATGGAAATGCGGTGCTCACGGTAAACTGCTCAATGGTGAGTTCACTGATCCACTTTCTACATCCAGTGAGAATGTTTCTGCTGTCTCCTGTTTGTCTCTGCAATCCAAGATAGACATTTGTGCACATTTCTAACTGTGGCTACATTTCTCTATGTGTGTACTATGTGTGTTTATGATTTTAATCATTCACCGAATGCCCCTCTGTCCAACTGATATGATCTGGTCCCAACCCTGATGTGTAGTGAGGTGTTTTCATTGCGTATTTTTGCTTTTTGTAAATGAACGGTTCTACAATCCTCACTCTAAGCTAATCGTGTGTATGCTGTTAGCATTAGCCATGTTGCTAACCAACGGCAGCTACATGTAGCACAAATCAAACAGCGACAGAAAAACACTGACCAGTAAATCCTGTTTTTGAAGAGGAAAATAAAAAAGTTAATTGTTAGCATTGGGCATGCTGACTACTGTGCCATAAGGTTAGCATACAGTAGAACAACTGGGATCCATTTAGGGATTGCTATTATAAATGGATGTCATGGATACTCTTATCCACACTCCTTATTGTAGCTTGCCATCACCAGTGTGTGAATGTGTGTGTGAATGGGTGGATGACTGCATATGTAAAGCGCTTTGGGGTCCTTAGGGACTATTAAAAAAGCGCTATATAAATACAGGCCATTATTGTAAACTAAACAGCATCAAAACGTAGTATGTAAAAAGGAGTAGATAAGACTTAATGGATGTTGAATTTTTAATTATGCTTCCAGGCTGTGAAAATGGCTATTTCTTCTATGTTCCTCATTCCATGTGGAAGATAGTCAAAAGATATCGATTGTATTGTATTGCAGAGTAGTCTGTGACTAATACATGGTTTGTTAATCCTCAAGCTGGATGTGGAACAAAATTGCACAATTTTGCACTGTCATCAAAACTAATAACTTTTTGTTCTGCTGGCAGAGGTCTTAGCACATGACTGGCTGTTCCTTCTTTCTGTTTGACAAAACTGCTGACCTGAAGAAAAATACAAACAGGAAAAGGTATTAATTTTCCACTATATTCATTTTCAAAGATGTGTTGTCATAGAGGAATAAGCATATTAATAGTAAAATAATTTGACAGTGAGAGTGATCGCAGAAGTAATTCTTTTCTTAGGAATGTTCAAAAGTGTCTTGATAATCGATGGTCAAACTTTAAATGCCAAGCAAAGGCTTCACTGCTTAATTTTGTCTACTACCTTATTTACTTTAGGTTACCCTGGACCAATCCTTTATGAGAGAATATCATCACACAATATGTGGCAGGATATGTAAAAAAAATTAATAAAAAAATGTTAATTCGGATTCTTGCTGGTTAAAAAAGCAACCTTGTGAGATTTTTGTGTGACTTTGAATCCAGTTTCGGTACTGTAGTAATATTTTTGCTGACTGATTGAAAGTCTGCACAGGTGGAATTAACAATGGCTCAGTCCATTAAGCGTCCAAGTAAATAGCGTTTGAGAAAATCAGAACCTCACACAAAGGGGACTGTAGTCATGCGCTTTATCTGCTGTGAACAGTTCTAATGTGAGTACAAAACTGTGTTTTTATGTCGGGCTTGACTGGTGTGTGAAGTCATTGTTGTTTCAGAAAGGAGGCTCATCAAACTCTTAGTTTCAGTCTAATTTAATCTCCAAGTTGATTAAGTCTGGCATGGGTAACTCTGAGTCTTTAATTCCAGAAAAGCTGATCAGAGTTAATTCAAGTTTACCCTCAGATTAACAGGTTTCACCATGGCAATGGATAAATAAAGGGAAGAGACTCAGTTTCAGTCCAGCAGACCAGAAATATCACTGTCTATCACATGACATGTATCTATATAAAAAAATAATAAAAAAAAGACAGGAGAGAAAAGAATGATTGGATCGGCTAAATTTTCATAAATACATAACACGGATATTTTTAAATCTAATTATTCAGCTCACGCAGAAAAATGCAGATTGAAAATAAAATTCGATAATATTAATCAAACAAATAAGACACTATAGACCTGTAATTTAATTTAAACCCAGTGAGACTTTTAGGTCATTTTCAGATGAAATGAGGTTCAAACTTAGACTTTTCAGACGTTGTGCCTAAATATTTCATAAATTTACTGACTTCATAGCAGGTCGCGGCAGATGGCTGTCGCCTGTGAGCCTGGTTCTGTCGTAGGTTTCTTCCTGTTAAATGGGAGTTTCTCATTCAAACTATCACCAAGTGCTTTTATTAGGGTCAACTTATTGTTGGGTTCTTCTCTGTATCATTGTGGGGTGTTTATCTTACAATGTAAAGTGCCTTGAGTTTACTGTTGCTTTACTCACTTTAAACTAGATGAATTTTTGTTTTAAAATCTTAAAATTATTTCAGCCTCATGTTCACTCAAATAATATTAAAGATAGTTTGACACACATTTCTCCATCAGTGTGACCGCTTACAACAAAACAAATAATTCTATCAACGATCGGTATATTTATGTGTTTAGATTTAACAGCCATATAAATGTAATTGCTATATATGTGGCTTAAGATGACTTAGAAAAAACACATTTTCAACACACTAAATAAATTTTACCCATGGCTTGATTAGATCACTGGAGTCTAATACCATACTGTAATTTTATTTAAACAGAGTAACAGAAGGCAAACCTATCAGAGAAACTGTCTAACAGCTGCCTTATTGTCCACAGAGACACAGTATTAGAAAGATGTAGAATATATATGTTATTCTGAGCTGAAAATAAACCCACGGTGTCCACTGATGACCATCCATGTCCTTTCATCAATGCCTGATTATAAAAGTGCTCATCTCAAACATAATAAGACACAATAACAAACTGCTATTTCATGTTTTCAGACACATGAGTCTGTACATATGTTCTGTTATGTGCTTTACACTGACCGTATAAATAAGGAAATGAAACTCAGGATTTCGTAAAGCTGTGTTTTCATGGAACCAGATGGATAAATGCGTACTCTGTGAATAGCATGCAAAGCAAATCAAGCACTCCCCAAATCAGTGTTCGCCCACGTGCCTGCATGTGTGCTGAAGTTTCCTGGACAAGTCTGGCAGAAAGTAAAAGGCTTGTTCTTCAAAGTGGATCATCATCAACTCTGATTTAATGCAAGTGACGATAACCAAGAAGAGTGCCTCAAAACACACCACAAACTGCAGTATGCTGAATGCATGAAGACCAAGAACAACAAGGCAATGGTCGCTAATGAAAATTGTCCAACATTACCCTGATGTCCATGAAAGTGAAACTGTACACCACGTGAACTTATCGTTCCAGCTCGCAAACATACTACAATCACCCACACAATCACATTTCATCTGGCCAAAGGTATGTGTCCACTAAACATGCTGGGTAACAGAAGCTTCAGGAAAATGGCTGACACTCTGGATAAATGATATGTTATCTACTCATGCATTTATTTTTCCAAAGGGGCAATACTTGTGCTGCACAAAAAATGTTGGAGGGGAAGAGTGGAGCGATCTCAGTAATGGAGAGGATTAAACACCTAATTTGGCTGCAAATATCTTTTAACAGGAACGTAGCACAATGTAAAGGTGGAAGTAGTGTCTGTTGATTTAATATTGCATTAGCTTTTTGGTACAATTCATCTCAGGGGTAACAAACTACACCTCTTTCCTGGAACTCTGCTCTGTTACTTCCACTGAAAGTTATTGTTGCTGTTGTTTTTATCTTCAACTATTGACACTTTTGTAACTTCCACAATCTTACTGCATTGTTTTGGCTAATCTGGATGTGGCCTGATGTGATTTGGAATATTTAGCATTAAGCACAGCACAGGAAAATATATGCAATATCATAGCCATGTCAGTAGTTGGTATTGTGCCAAGTCAGTGCCGTTTGCACTGCTAAGTCAACATCAGTTTTTAACAAAAGGCAGTAAGACAGCAGCAAGAACCTTTCCTGGTAGTCTTTCACATGACTTACTCGTTCAAAGTCATTTTAATGGACAGCCTGGCATTAGCTCGACTTTAGTGCGTGCAATGTCATTGTCAAATTCTCTGAAGAAGTTTATATAATATGCTTTATTGCTCTTAAAACATGGGTTAACTTGTACACAGACAGAAGACCACACTGACGACAAGATCATTGACAGTAAATAAAGACAGGAATGAATAGGTGCACATAAAGAAACAATGGATCAATCAGGGTGAGCTCTTCGTATGAATGAAGCACAGACTACTCCACACAGTTTAAGCAAAGCAACTGGAACAATGACAACCACAAAGAATGTTTATTATAATGTGGAAATATGCTGATGAGGGAACATTGTCTGATATTTTTGATTATAAAAATAAACATGTCCCATGCTTTATAATCATAATATAGTCTTTAAAATATATGTTTTGCTATTAGTCACTATGTTACATTACTACTATAAATAATTACCATACAGATATGTCTTGCTTTGTCCTATTTACAAAATAGCATAGTGTTGGATAAATCTGAATACAAGTGATGCTTTAAAAGTGTTTCTTTCTTCTTTTTTTTAATGAATCATCTTATTATGTACATTTTCACTGTAAAATTATACATCTCCATACTGAATATCATTTTCAAAACATTAATATGTTGCCATCATACCATTTCAGTTTTGCCTCTTTTTTCTACTTTAGAAGTGGAAAATGATCTATACAAATAGTATCTTTACCTTCAATGGTCAAAGTGTCTGCCCCTGAAAGTGTAATACGTAAAGGGAAACATGCAGTACAGTGAAGAAGAAAACACTGCTTATGGTTATGGAAATGACACATCAACAGGAAAAAAACATTTAGAAGAAAGTGCTCATTAAAACCAAGACACCAGTGCCAATGGCCTTCATACTGAAGGTGAAACTCTCATACAAAATGCATATCACAGTATAGGTGTAATAAGTGCCACATTTGCTGTTACTGATGATTATTTATGTTATGAGGATAATGTAGAACCACTCAGAGGTATATTTCCATAATCAAAGATTTAATCTATTTTAAAAAAGAATTGAATAAAAGAGATTATGTTTAAAGAAACACTTTGAAATAATTTAAGTTTGTTGTTTTAAGGTGTGCTTAAATTAAATGTAAATGCTAAAATATTGAACATTTGCAAGTTAGCTTTATGCAGCATGTTTACCGCTTGACATTCAGCATCCTTACAAGCAGTGTTGTCACAGATGTTTTCATAATTTACATTTATGTAAAAAAGAGCACACCCTCTTTCAGTTCTAAGATTTACTTATTAGTACATGATAAAAACAATCATCGGGTCCTTACCAGGTGATAAAATTAAGTAAATAAAACTCGGTGGTACTAAACCAAAAAATTTTAAGTTCAGTGTCGAGTTCCTGGGGGGATAAGTTAGCACTAGCACAAAACTTAAGGTAAATAGTTAACAACTCTTAATTTCGCAATGTATTTTGCCTTGCCAACAAACATGTTAATGTTTTGGCCTCGGTATCTTCATAAGGGTACTTGACACATGAAATAATAAAGTTTCTTTATTTATTCAAAAAATGTAAAAAAATTAAGCCAAATGCAGAAGCATCATGTGAAAAATTATGTACACCCTTCCTGCTTCTATAGAAACCACAAATGTAAGCAGCAGCTATGGGCTGGTAATTAGATGTACTTGGTAAACTGATCATCTGTTAAGCAAGTGTGAGCACCTCTGTAAAAGCAGATGTTCTGACAGTGCTCATCTGCAAGATTCAGGTTTGTGATCAAAGGAATCAGCATCGATTTTACAGAAGCAATTAGTGCTACCCATCACTCTGGGAAGGGTTAAACGGCCATTTCCAAAGAATTTGAAGGCTATCATTCAACTATTCAAAAGTGGAAATCATTCAAGAAAGTTGCCAATCTGCCAAGTACTGGACATCCCAACAAATTCCCAGGTCACACTGTGCAATGCTCAGAGAAACTGCAAAAAAACCCAAGAGCTACATCTCAGTTTTTACTGGGCTCAGTTAGCATGTTAAATTTTAAACTTTATGACAGTTCAATTATAAAAAAACTAAACAAGTAAGTCTTGTTTGAAAGGTTACCAGGAGACTCTTCTCCCTAAAAAAACATGACAGCATTTGAACAGACCACAAGACCTCAGAAGTCTGTCTCTCCATAATTCACAGTGGTGAAAGCCCAAAACAACATATCAGCATAAACAGGACAGGTTTTGAAGCCACAGGAACTGGGAGTCATTGAGTCAACCATGAACTCATTTATCAAAATATTCTAGAGTCACATGTAAGGCCATCTGTCTGATGGCTAAATTGAGCTGTGCAACATGACACTGATCTCAAATACAGCAGCAAATCTACAGAATGTCTGA